ATTGTGATTTGGGTGAAAATTTACAGAGCAAATTCACTTTCCATACAGCAGTTCACATACACTTTGTCTCATGACATTGACTATAATTTACCACAATGCAACAGCTCCCCTTCCACTTCCTCCCCATAGTTACCTCTTCTCTGTGTCCATCCCTCCATGCACTCTTGCCCCCTGAGCTGTCTCCCAGTGCATAAACAGTCCTTCTTTCTCCCATGATTATTCTCTCCAAGGAGTGTATCTACCTCAGGTAAATGTTCAACTCATATGCCTGTCTTTTGTTTGGCTGGAAGCCACAGGTGTTGGTTCAGTTCTAGACTTGAAGGGCAGCTAGGGGCCATAGTCTCAGTGGTTCCACCAGGCTCTATCAGACCAGTTTTTAACATCTAGAAAGTGTCAGGCCCCAGGCTTGAATCCAGGCTTCATTCATTTTCCTTTATTCCTTATGCTCTGGGTCCTGGGTCCTGGGTCCAGGGCTTGGAATTCATGTGTAGAGATCCCAGCCCTGCATTTTGAGCCTTTCTCCAGAGCAGAGCATGGAACAGCTGCTATGACCTTTGTACTCACTGGACTTACACCACAATCTGAGAGAAACCAGGGAGCACTCCCATTATAGATTCAGTCAGGGACTGTCTCAAGCTGGTGTCTAATGACCCTCATGATGGGCTGTGCATGTAGGTCACCCAATGTTATAAGTATTTGTAATAAAACTATCCAATTGTGTCATGACTTGGGATTCTGTAGACTCCTTTTTCATAGATTATTAGATTCTAGCACCTTCCCTGTGAGGGGGTGGGGCAGGGATCAATCATGTTGTCTTTTGATCTCCTCTTACCTGGGTCCCTGTGATCAGTTATTACCATTGCACTGTCCCAGCTCTGTCTGTCTCTCATGCCTCCATGAACACAATGGCCCTCCTGCAAGGAATACGTCTAGTCATGCTATTAAAATCTCACTTATCCTTCAAGTCTCAACTCAAATTGCGTTTACTCTGTGGCAGCTTTCTCTGCTCCTCCTGGTCATCTCAGGATTAAAAATGACCTTCAGGGCCATATATTTTAATGTGACAATGCTCAGATATTATCTATAACATTTCATATGTCTGGTTGCAGAGTCTGTTTGAACGTCTGTTTGAATTGGCGGGGAACTCACCATCAATTGAGGTAGTCTGTTTTAGGTTTGGACTCTCTGTAGGAAAAGTCTTCATTATATTGGTCTTGGTTAAATTATTAGTATTTTTAGAACATCTAAGCCTTTTGCAGCAGATAGCTCTTTAAGTGTTTGAAGACAGGTCTCCGTATTCTTGTGAGGCATTGCTTGTGCCTTGGTCCCAGCACCTATTACTGTAAAGTCTCCATTGTAAGATCCTGCAAGAGTAGTGGGCAGGGGGAGATGAGGGAAATGTCTTTCTTAACAGCTGCGAATATTTCCCAAGTATCTAGTCCCTGACAGGTATTATACTAAGGCCTTAATATTCATTAAATCATTGAAATGTCACAACTACACTGTGACTTAGAAACCATTATTTCCTCCATTTTATGGATGAGGAAATGGAAGTCCAGGCACATATCTGATAGGATTTGGGCTCAAGTCCAGGCCTGAATAACTCCAGAGTCTTTGCACTTAACCACAAAGCTATCGACTGTCTTAGATGTTATTCTACCAGAGCAACTAGCACAGTACTTTGCATGTACTAAACATTTGTTAAACATTTATTAAGTGAATAAATGAATCCCCATTGTAAAGACAGGGGAACTGATGAACAGAAAGATTAAGTGGTTTACCTAAAGTCAGGCAGCTAGCTAGTTAGAGAAAGACAGGAATCTGGGCCCAAGTCTTTGGTAAGCCTGGTTCCCAGTTTGGTCACTCTCATTTACCCACATGCAAGATTAGCTCAGCCACCTTCACCTTAAACAGGAGTATCTCAAACTTTCTGTCCAATGGTCATGGTCCTAACCATCATCTTACTCTCACCTTGCCCTCATCATATTCTTTACCTAGCTAAGTGCCTAGCTAACACATAGAGATTGCTGTGTACTGGGCATTGTGTATTATCTCAGTTGACCTTTATAAAAACACTAGTGATAATCATCATCTCATTGAAGATAAGGAACCAGAGCCCAGAGAATTTAAATTTCTTAACCAAGATCACAGGTCCCTGGATGGCACAAAAAATTTGCTCTTGGCTACTAACAGAAAGTTTGGTGTTTCAAACTCATCCAGCTGCTTGCTTAAAGAAAGGTCTGGCCATCTATGTCTGCAAGATTCCCAAAACCAAAAAACAAGTTGTCATTGAGTTGGTGGCATCACTAGGGTTGGTGTCACCCAGTGTAGTAACTTATGGTGTCACATCCCTCTTCCCTCTGTGGGCAGGATGGGGTGGGGTTGTGGTGGTGATGAGTTACCACAGCGTGTTGTGGGTGACATAAACCATAATGATATCACTGCTTTGGTAGCCTCTCTTCCTGTGTCACAGACTCACTGCTGCCACCACAGACCCTGGGGTCATTTTGATGTTATCCCCACTGACGGTGTCAGGGAGTGTGGAATGTACCACCACTGCACCCAGCAGATTTTGATTCATGGAAACTCCATGTGGGTGAGCGTAGGAGTGAACCTAATAAGGTTTTCAAGCCTGTGACCTTTTGGAAGTAGATCACTAGGCCTTTCTTTTGAATCACCTCTGGGTGGGTTTTGAACCACCAACATTTCAGTTAGTAGTTGTGTATTTAACCATATGCACCATTCAGATCACAGCCATTGAAAACCATGTGGAGTGCAATACTGCTCTGACACAGATGATGTCACAGTAAGTTGGAACTGACTCGATAGCAATGGATACCCAAGATCATACATCTAGTGAGTTAGTAGAGCCAGAATTGTAAATTTAAGCCTGAGGTGTTGTTCTGGACCTAGTGCTGCTCTGACAAGAATATATCACAAATGAGATGGTCTTAAACAGGAGTTTATTCTCTTACAGTTTGGAGGCTTCAAATCCAAGTTCAAAGTGCCAAGCTCTAGGGGCTGGGTGAAAGCCCCTCAACCTTGGGGTCCAAATCTACCTCCTGCTCCCAGACCACTGGAGCTAGAGGTGTTTCTTCACTCAGACAGCTGCTGGCTGCTGAGGCTGAGAAGCCCCAAGCTTGACAAGTAAAAAGGCATAGTCCTGATGTTACCAAACCACATGGCAGACCATTAACTTAAGTCCATTGTAAGTCCCAAGGTTGGCAGAGCATGGCAGGCTGCTGAACAACAACACAGCTACATGCAGGTCCAAGCGTGCCATAAACTAGAGACCATTCCCAAGGCTTCTCCTTATGTACAGGAAGCAGACCATATCCCAAAGGCAGCTACTCAGCTGTTTGTGGTAGATCCCACCATGGAGTTGATTGGCAGTCTCATCATGGGGAATGACTACCACCAGCTGCCCAGCCACTCAACTAGGCCCAGCCAAGTTGACACACAAACATAACTACCACAGGTGTCAACCACGATACCTCACTATACCTCTAGTGAGGCCAATAGCCATATCCTACACTTCTGGGAAATAAGTTCACATGTCAGTCAGTTTGGACATAGGGAGCATATGATGTCATTGGTCCCCTTCATTACTGTCAACAACCCTTAGATGCCCACATTACTTAGATAACATATACAATAGGCCCTGATGTTTTCAAAGATTTAAAATGTTATTTTCTCAATCAAAAATATTTAAGAAATATTTGGAAAGAAGTCATCCATGATTCCAGAATCTTAGTTATATTCTTTTATTTGTGAATTGCCTTCAAGTCTTTGCCAACTGCAAACCCATTTTATATGTTTGTGATCATAGTATGTACTATTTTGCCTTCTCCCTTTCCTTTTTAATGTTTGCTCTGAGCATTTTACCAGAAGACGTACAGTCTTCTGCAGTACTATTAATAAATATTTCCCATATTTTTGCAATTTAAGCTGTTCCAGTTTTTGCTATAGTAGAAAACAATGCAAATAATATTTCCACATATATGTCAGTTTGCTTCTGTTAACTTATTCCCTTAAGATAAATTTCAAGGAGTGGAATCATATGAGCCAAGGGTAGAAATGTTTTAACGGCTCTTGCCATGTGATATATGTGTTTGGATTTGCTTTAACTGGACACATGGGTGGCAATCACAGGTTTCCTTGAGCTAGGGTTCTTCTTGATTTTATCTTTCCTCATCAAGGCTTTTCCTTAAACACCCAACTCCCCTTCACTCCACTATGAGTGTCTCTTCATTCAGTCCTCAAATTAAATTTTGCCCCAAGGTATCATCTGTGGGGATTAAGAGGTAAGTTTCTCCCTGGCCCTTTGCTCTTCCCTTCCCTGATCCTTATTCTCTCCCATCTTTCATCTACCACGTATTCTGGCATAATTGGGACAATCTTCAGAAAGGCACTGGCCCTGGAGATACTGTTATCCTTTCCAAAGCCTTCCACAGAGAAGAAAGAGAAGGACAGAAAATAACTGTTCACTGTGTTACAGAGAGGGGATTAGGCACTTCTTTAAGGCAGAAAAACAAACCACCCTCCAAGTCTTACTGTGATAAGCAGATGGATACATTGATCAGCTTATGGATATATGAACAAGGTGAGAGATAAACTGTGGTAAACTAGTTA